TTTCTGCTGCAGTTTACAAGAGTTCAGTGTTCTCCACACAGCATATTTCTATACGTAATATTGGATGTGGATAACATGCCTGTAAATCCTGCTGCCAGGCAGTGCCTGCAAAGGTTGGACTGCTGTGCAAATTGTGCCTTCCCCTCCAGTGTGGATAAAAGCTGGACAAGCTCGTTATTGACACTCACTGTTTACACTGTCACTGTGCAGTTCCTGTGAGATGGTAATTTGAAACACAGTAAAAAACTTTTTTCATTTCAAGGGGAAACTGCTTTTGAGATTATGTTTTAGTTTAGGAATAGAATTATAAGCCCTCAAGGATCTTGGAGAGGTGTGTTGACTTGCTGAGGCCCTGCTGCAGTACTGAGGAGATTAGTAACACATGAAGCCTGCTACAATTTGCACCCAGAAAGATAGGAAAGAAATCTTCTTGACTTTGAAAGGATTATTTTGGTTGTTTACTGAGTGCTGTCCCTTTTGGTCTTAAATTGCAGATGAAAGTGGAAACCAGAAGTGCCCTCTTCTTATTGCAATGTGTGATGGAAGTGAGAGGAGCAGCTTTAGCAGATTTGCCAAGGCTTTTGGAATGGGAAAAAGGGGTCATACATTACCACTCTTGACTTCAGCCACATAAAACAATACTGCAACTTTCTGCAATTATGCTGAAATTCAGGCTTTGGCACATCATATGGCTTTAATATTTCTTTTAGCACTGTGTGGGTCCAAAGGACCACACTGGTGTATGTGGGAGAGTAGAACTGAACCCACAAATACCTGACAAAACAAGTTTCCACCAGAGTAAGGGAAATCCTCTTATCCTCCCTTCCATGCTCTTTGGAGTAAATGAATTGATGTATAGGTGAGCAAAAGAGGCTCCTCTAATTTTCAGGAATCTCATCCTGTCCAGAATTCCCCATTTTGTATAATTAGAAGAGCTGCTGAAAGCCAGCAATGTAATGACACCAGTGACTGGAGAACAGAGCTGTTAATAGGCAATAAGTTCTGCCTAATTTGCTGCCACCCTGCTGGAGTGCACGGGTGGCAGGCAGCAGAGGTGGTCAGCTCAGCACGTGCATCTAGGATCACTGGGATGCAGGAGAGGCTGCTTGGGCAGCAGGGGAAGAGGTGTCAGCTCCTCAGGCTGGTCCCAAGCTCAGGAGGTCCAACTGACCCAAGTGCCAGTTCCTGCCTCTGCAGGATTCTCCTCTTGGGAAAAGGGAGAGTGTAAAGTAAGTGCTCAAAGTCACACAGGGCATTCCCTTCCTGAATTCCAGCTGCTGAACTGCTCTGGGCATCTGGCAGTGCTCAGGAGGTACCCACTGGAGCCACCAGGTGAGGCTTCATCATGGTCCTGAGGACACCAGGCTGAGGCACCCCTCTCCACTCAGATATTTCATTCCTGATTTAAAAGGATTTCAGAGCTGGAGAAACCTTCAACTTCTCCATTGATTTCATCAAAGTCAGTTTAATTCCTTTCCCCACAGGAAGGGAAAATTGGAATCCAGATCTTTTCAGAAGAGGGCTTTAGGGATGATTCAGGAGCAGGATATTTTGAACAGTTTCAACTTTCAAGTTATCATTTCACCTTTCTCCAAAATACGTAATTTCTATTTTACACAGAGAAGAACATGATTATATATGAAGTTGATGTAAGCCAGACAAAATGTTTTGATTTGAAATATCACCTGGAAACAAATTTGTCCTTCCCAAATCTCAGGGAAAATCGAAGTTTTTGTTCTATTGATACATGAGTCTGAATATAGTAATAGAAAACACAACACCCAAAGATGAACATTTAATGAATGGAAGCAGCTACAGGATTAGTAGTTTCCACTTCTTTCTATGCTAAAGAAGCTAGAGGATTTGGGGCATAATACTTAGGAGTCATTTGCATTTCCTATTTCCAAGAAATGCTGACAGATACAGAATAATATGGCTTTCAGTATCTCCATCTCTGCTTTTGTAAAACTCCTAGAAAAAGTTAGTTTTGCTGGTGAATAGGAATAATGTTTACAAATCCAATCTTTGCTTCTATAAATGTTACGATAAGCCTGATCTAGGAGTCAGGGGTAAAACAGACTGGTCACTTGAGTGTTGGGAAATCTCAGTGCCCTCTCTTTGAAGGCCTTTTGTCTCTGTAAGTGCTTTGAAGCAAGGAAACACATCCTTGGCTTGGCTGCAGAGTAAGAAGTAGCTGTGGTCACACACCTCCTAGAAGCAGCTAATGGATCTGGAAGAGTTCACTTCTGTAATAATAGTAATTTTTTCCTATATTCTTGTAGGAATAATATTCCCCTTTTTAAAATTCAGATATTTGCCCAGCATCACTATCCCAGTCTCTAACTATATTACACAAGTAAAATTATATTCATAATGCAAAAAGTGCTTCATTATGATGCCTTTTCAGGACACCCAAAACAAAACCCAATAGAAGAAAAAATCGCTCACATCTCCCAGCTGCCACCATCTCCCAGTTAAACTTCTCCAGATCAGCTACAGGAGTGCTGAAATTTAACATGTAGTTTTTATTGCTGTCAGGCAAATCTTGTCTTAAGAAAACCATTTCTGCCCTAAAAAGTATCTCTCTCTGAACTGGCAATCCCAGCAGTGGTGCATTAGCTGGGGACTGGCCATCAAGGGTAAGCCAACACTGAGGCTGTGCATAAAACAGGGCACCCCTGACACAGGAATGATTGGCATCTGACTCCATTGATTCAGAAGTGCTGAACAACTGCTTTATTAAACTATATTATATTACATTATATGCTGTATCTATACTGCAAAGAATACTAAAGAAAAACCCGTGACTATCTCAAGACAGCCAGGACACAGCTTTGACCCAATAGGCCAAGGAAACAAAGCAATCCTCAGCAGAATCCAACTGACAAATCACTTCAGGTAAACATGCTTCCTAACACATCCCACATGTGCAAAACAACAGGAGCAGAGAAGAGAGATAAGAATTGTTTTTCTCTTCTTCTCTCTGTGCTTCTCCAGGAAAAAAACCCTGACAGAGAGAGAGAATTATGTCTTTCTGTTCAGAGAACGTGAATGCCACAAGGCTGTGCCCGTGCAGTGCCACGTTTCTCTGTACACAGAACCTGGACAATGGCACCTCTCCAGAGTCCCACAGAACCAGGGGGTGCCCCAGTTTGTCTCCCAGGAATGGCACAACCAGAGCTGCAGGAGTGCCCAAGCTGATCTCTGCTGCTCAGCAGTGGTCATCCAGCAGCACACAAGGTGCTGATTCCTGAATCCCTGCTTCCAAAAGACACCTGCATCCTGCTGCCTCCTTTGAATAAACAGCTCTGCTCTGAGGCACCAGCCTGCTCCCAGCTGCAGGAAGAGCAGCTAAACCTCACACAGCATGAGAAAGGGAGTTTGCCATGTATGTGTACACTAGGCATTTGCATTCATTCACAGTTGGTTTGTGATTGTCCAATTTAGCAATAAGTAGTTTAGTGATTTGCAAAGAATTTGGGTGTTTTGTTGACTTGCTGATGTATATAGCAACAATATGCAATGCTGATGCTAGCATTAGTCTGTGTGCCTTGATTCACTGGCAGCTGCCTTGGCACCTTGCAGTGCAGCCTCAGGAAGAGAAAGTATAAAAGGTGCCCTGCACCTTTACAGTCTCTGGCACACCTTGATCCTTCCCTTCCCCTAGTTCCATGGGGAAGAAAACCTCTTTTGCTCTCATGTTGGCACAGTGCCTTTCATCCTCAGGCTGGTTTAGCTGGGCTGGTCACCAGCAGCTCTGCAGTGGAGTGACAGCACAGCAGCACCAGTTACAAAGAGGGACAGCCGGGCAGCTTGGGAGCTGCAGGGTGGCAGCCAGAGAGGGAGATGAGGGGCTGTGGCAGCCTTGGACCCTATGTCCCTCCTGCTCTCTGCAAATGCCCAAGCTCTGGGTAAGCAATTGTTGGCAGCTGTGAGAGCTGCATACCCTAATACCATGTTTTTCTAAGACATCTTAGATTTCCTACACTCATACTGACCTCGGCTGAAGATAACAACCCTTGTCCTGGGGGAAAAGAGACAGCTTATCCTCCCACTCCACTCTGCAAGGTTTTATTTTACTTTCCTTTGATGCATCAGTGTGGTTAGGGAAAGATCCAGTTCTAGATGAACCAAAGGCTGCTTCTGAGTTTCTACCTAAGGATTACACCATGCCCTTAGATTGTATCTCCTCAATGCTGCTCTTCACACTGACGTGTTCCAGCAGACAAGGGAGAGGATATCATGTCTGCAGCACTCATGGATGAGCAAATAGCCATGAGCTATCAGACACCACCTTGAGTGCAGCCTGCCTGACCCACCTCAGACCAGGGATCAAACAACAGAGGTGTTTTCTTTCTTGGACTGATGCAGTGTTGTGAAGCCAAACTGCTCACAGTGAAAGAGTTTGGTCATTAGGCCTTCAGGCAGAGATTGCCAAAAGCAGAACCTACATAGCACTACTTTCAGAGCCACTTTTGTCAAAAGATTTAAATAAATCTTTGCAGAGTTATCCCATACTGCTTGGGAGCAGGGACAAATTAGTTCTGCCTCTGTGTTTGCAAAGAAACTATTTTCTGCCAGGAAATTTTGCTATAATATTTAAGTATTTTCCACAAATACACTTGGATTTTCTTTTACCTAAAACTATGCATCTTTTTCCTTACCAGCCTTGCATCAATGATCCAACACCTATTCTCCTACTTGCTGCTAATACTTCCTTGGCTCACAATTCATAGGAGTACTGTCGTGATTGATAAATGTCTTTGAATTGGAAAGTGCTGAGTGCTAATGACTATCCATGCACACTCATACTTGTGCTGCTTTCAAGTGCAGGGCAGTCACATACCATGGTAATAGGAAAGCTTAGGAAAACAGATATTAGTACCTAGGAGTTTTATCCATCATAGGAATGTAATAAGGAAGAATAAATTAGAAGTTAGATGTTTCAATTCATTATTGCACATTCTAATGAATAATTTTCCATCTGTTTAATAGGTTCAGGGCAGCTCAAAACGGAGTTCAGATTGGAAGCTGCTTACAGCCCTATCTGCTTGCACTCTGGGTAATGCTAAGAATTACAAAAATATGTTTCTGTCCATTGTGAAGAGCACAGTTTAAAAATGTGACTGCAAAGTGCAAGTTGATTCATCCAAATTCTGCCCCCCAGATGCTGGGACACTGGGTGGGTGAATCCAGAGCTCCCCCATAAAGCATCCATCACATGCCTGAGGAAGTGCTGCCTGATGAAACTGTTAGGTCAAGCTGCACTTGGGTTTTTTGTAGGCTTTTTCCCTCATCCATCTTTAAAATGATGTGATTGGAGTGTAAAGGGTATTTTCAAATGTTTCCTTAATGAGGATACTTTGTTCACATTTATCAGTCAGTGCTAACTGCTTTCAGAGCTCCCCTGCTCCTGTAACTCAAGGACCAGCCTGGGAGGGCTTGGGAAGCACATGCTCAGCATCCATAAACCAGCCACTGCCATTCACCAGCTTTGCTCACAGAGGACATGTTAATTAAAGTCAACTGATTGGAAAAATAATTACAGGAGAATCGGGAGGGGGAAAGCTGAGACCCATAATTTAAAGATCTCTGATGTTGTGCATTGTTGAGAGGTAGTCATTTTGTTGAGAGGAAAGAGGATCTCTCTTTTTCTTTTAGGACTCCTGTGCTCTCCTTGCTTTCTGCTGCTTGCAGAAACATGCAATGGCTACAGGCAACATGCAGCAGTTTTTCTTTAGTGATGCAAGTACATGTGGCCTTTTATTATTTCAAATATATGCTTTCACCTAGCTTTGTTGCTGTTGTATCTTGAGGTGTCCTGAAGAGGCTGTAATGTCTGACCTAAAAGGTTTTGTATTCCTGGACACAGTTATCCTATAGGATGTGGAATAATGTAAACACTCTAACTGCTAAAAATTGCTATTGTAGCGTTTCTTGCACTAATTAAAACCTGGCGAGGGATCTCCTTCCTTGATGCTGCCTCTACTTCAAAGAAAAACATTTCAATAAATCAAATCCAGGGAAAATGGTTTCACATTTTAAGCTAATAATAATAATAGTTTTAGAAACCCATACTTGCTCAGGGGTATAATTCATTTAAAAAGACCTTAGAATTCAACACTAAGCAAATATAAACCCCTTGTTATTTGGGGGTGGATGTTTTTCAGCTACTCCCTCTCAGGTGATGATTCTGCATTTCTCACCAGCTCTGTGTCCCTCCAGAGTGTCCCATTCCCACAGGAAGGGGCAGCACCCAGAGGTGCCAGACTGGGAGCCTCCAGCTCTCTGCAGCATTGTGGCCTCCTGAAAAACCTCAGCAAGGCACCTGCCTTGTGCCTGTTGGAGCTTCCTCCCCAAGGGCATGCAGGGAGCCTAAATAGGTGACAAAAAGGAAGTCGTGTATGTCAGGAAACCAAATGCAATTCTTAGAAAGCTCTGACTGGACAGATTTACCAAGGGATGGTGTGAGTTTGGTCTTGTTCTGGCCTTGCCACCATTGCATTTTGTTGGAAGTGCCCATTCATCCAAACCCCTGCCTATGCAGCCAAACAAACACTGCAGAGAACCAGAGAGAGGGTGGGTTGTGTTCCCTGTGTGCTCATAACAGCAGTGGTTGGAACTGGAGCACCACTGAAGCCTAATCTGACTCCCCTGGTGCTTTAGAGCATTTGGCATTTAAAGGTAAATATATTTAGTAAATGCAAATGTCCGTCCATACTAGATTCACAAAAGGCACAGATGGACTTGTAACAACCTGGCTTTGCTAGTGCTAAAAAACTTAGCAATGTTTTATTTTAGTTTTGCTTTTAAAGGTGTGGGAAAAGTTTAAGGTGAAAAGAAAAGAATACACAATTACTGTCTGCCATAATTTGAACAGAGAATAAAGCTGAATTTGCTTATGCAGAGAGAGACTGTAGTGCTCTGTATTCATTTGAGATACAAGCATCCCCCAGTGTTGCTGGCCTGGAGCTCTGGCTGCTTTACACACTGAATGAATGTAGTTGCCACTAAATAATGTTAATAATCTTATCAGTCAGAGTTACAGAATGACTTCATCTTTCACACTTCATGTTCTTCATTGATGCATTTTAGAAATTTAGGATGCCAGTACACTATGGAAAATTCAAAGCTTCCTAAGGAAACCATGAAAAGCATACATGTTGCCCCAACACCAAATATTCCAGGCACATTAAGAACAAATCTAAAGACTTTTTCTGACATAACTGCTTTGAATCATCACCTTTCCACAGCCCATCCTTACTGCAAACTGATGTTATACAGTCCTTCTGTATTTAAAATTCCCTTTGTAAATGAAGACCAGCTTCAAAAACTTTCCTTTAGAGCAGGTCACATTTGCAGGAAAAATACTGGGAAAGCAAAGTGGTTGCTACCCCTGCAGCCTGTTGCTGACCTCCAGCTGAGCCCTTGTGTTCAATAATTTGCTATTGAGAAATCCAGTTACATTCTGGGAACCAGTTCCACTGCCTGTGCTCTAATGCAGAGTGTTACTGAGTATTTGTGTTACTGAAAAATGCAGGGCTGGCATAGCTCTGTGGCAGAAGCTTTCACTTTAATTAATAAAGACATGTGGCCCTGGTAGTAGCTTTCCTCCCTGGTTCCCATTCCTTCCCTTTTTCACTTCCTGGCATCATGTGAGGACAGACCTGGTTCCAGCAGGACTTTCCATGGGCTTGAAGCTTCAGGGCAGTGCTCAGTGAGGGCTTTAGGAGAACACACACCAGCTTTAGGAGAACACACACCAGCTTTAGGAGAGCACACACCAGCTTTAGGAGAACACACACCAGCTTTAGGAGAACAACACCAGCTTTAGGAGAGCACACACCAGCTTTAGGAGAACACACACCAGCTTTAGGAGAACACACACCAGCTTTAGGAGAACACACACCAGCTTTAGGAGAACACACACCAGCTTTAGGAGAACACACACCAGCTTTAGGAGAGCACACACCAGCTTTAGGAGGACACACACCAGCTTTAGGAGAACAGCACCAGCTTTAGGAGAACACACACCAGCTTTAGGAGAACAGCACCAGCCCGTGTGGGCCCAGGGCTGCTCTGGGGCTGCTCTAAGAGCAGTGTCAGAGCCAGCACAAGGATTGCTGGCAGACTCCTGCTCGCTGTCCTCTCTTCCTTCGTGTTCAGTGCAAGCCAGTAAAAGGGGCTCCAAGCACTGTGACCAGGATTTGCCTTGGAAATCAATTTTCCGGCAGAGCTTCCTCAGTGGGTGACCTGTGGTGGATGGTTTGAGCCACCTGTGGTGGCTGTTTCTTCTCAGAGGTGAAGCAGCAGCTGCCAGTTCTGTGTTTGGCACAAAGGTGCAGCTTTCATGATTGTTCCCCACACATTATCTCTCTTTATGGATTTCATATTGTTTAATTAGTGAGAAATAAAAATAAAAAGTGACGTATTCAAAGCAAACTATTGAGAGGGATTTCTCTGAAAATTGCAGTCATGGTGTGACCGTTTTTCCCAAAATGCAATTTTTAACTATGTCCTCCATCATATTTTCTGCTTGTTAAAAAAAAGGACATAAAATTAAAGACAACTGATGGGACAGAAATAGACTGGATGATTGAAATTAACTGTACAAAAGAAATACTAGAGAATCAGTAATTTCATCTAAATGAGAACTTAAATCTACTGATCTGCATTGGGAGAATAAATACACTCTATGCTAAGTTTGGTTTGGTTTGGTTTTTTACTTCTTGTAGACATATTACACCAGACATCCTTCCAGATGAGAGGACAAAGACTATGAGTGAAGAGTGCCCTGGAGCTCACATGCAGTTCTTTTCCTGGGCCAGAACTGGATTGATCTGAGAACAGTAATTATGAGGCTGACATGTATGTTCTCCTTCATCTTGCTGTTTGGAGCAGTTGGGCTTGTGGTCTTCATTCACCTGCAGGATCCAGAAGAAATAGTTCATCAGCAGACACCAGGTTAGCATTCCTGTTTCTATTTGAATCACCTGTCCTTTCATGCTCAATATTTTGTACTTATATTCTCAGTGTATTTTACATATTTTACAGAGGACACCTCAAAAAAAGTGTGTCATTCTTAATGAAGGTTACCTTGAAAGTAATTATCAATTTATTAAAAAAAAAACAAAAAACAAAACAACCGAGCATTTGCTGAAAAAAAAAAACCAGTTCCAAGGACCAATTAATTGATTATACAGGGACCTTTGCCAACATGCATAGGGTCCAACTGGATGGAGTTAAGTTTTTGCTAAAGAAAACTTTTACTGCCAACTATATCACTATAAACGTGAAAATGAGAGATTTTATCAGAAGTTCTGTTCCTAGAAATGCAGACCTCTGAATTTACCTTCACTTGCATGTGGTATTCAGTGTGTCATGAGATGCAAAATAAGAGATGCATGAATGAGTCATATCAGAAACTTTAAATACTTTAGGATGCATTCACTAAATTTGCTTCATTTCAATTAAACCTTTCATAACTATTATTCATATGCATGTCATCTTCCTGCACTACTAACTTGAAACTGTGGAGAGCCACAAAGGCCACAGAGATGGGAGAACTAGAAAACTGTGTGCTGAAATAGTAGTTTCCTTTAAAAGGGAGACACAAAAGTATGAAAAGACCCAAGATCTCTTGATTTACTTGCAGTCCTTTTCTCTTTGACTATGGCTGTAATGAAGGCTGCTTTAGAGCCTAGACAAATGCCAGTGCAGTTACTCTCATCCAGGATAATGCCACTGTGTTCTGGAGTTTGGCCCCTGTGTTTGCTCTTATTTGCACTGAAATTGTCCCTTGACTAAACAGATGCTTCATAAAACCTTTATTCATTTGACATCTTCATTGTACAGTGAACACAACTGTGTCTATTTAAAGTCATTGCTAACATTTTTAAATAAGCTGAACTGTAACATAGGGAACTCTTAAATAATTACATTAATTGCTAATTTCTGTGTCTAGGATTGTTAAGTGCTTGTTTCCATGTCACTAAACAATTTGTATTTTAATATGTTGTTTATTTAGTCCAACTGCACACACACCAATTTTGAAAGCAGCCACTCAGCTGAAACCATAGAAGTAATGAATCTTCAGTGTAGTGCAAAGCAGGGAATTAACTAGTTCCTTCACTGCTTTTGCAATTTAATTTTTTATGCTTAGATGCAAAGCAGTTTATAGATTAAAAACAGAGTACTGGCCATATTTGACTGAAACTGGCCAGTAATTTAGGCAAGAGGGAAAGATGTGTGGACAGCAAATGCAGGCAGTACTCTCATGCATCTAAGAATGTGTAACTTAACGTTGAAAAGTTAATTCTTTGCTCCTGAAAACAAGATTTCCTAGTGTGGTCTCAAAACCAGTGCAATTTCTTTTCTATTTTTTTCGCTGTGGGTCCCTCCTCTTGACCTCTTATCTGCCACAAACCTCTTGAATGCTGACTGCTGATTGTAGTACACTGGAAAGTGATTTTTGAGAGCAGTGTAACTGGAGAAGGGAACACCTAATTATATTCAAATAAAAGCAAGTTTAAACAGAGCTCCTACCCCTGGCAGGGAAACTCACTCTGTAATGTGCTCGATTGCTGTGGATACCTAAAACACAAACATGCCAACGATGGTGTTACTGCCAAAGGTGTGCAATCAATTCCTCAATTCTCACTTTCAATTACTATTCATGTTAATAGGAACCAGACTGTACCCTTGAGTAAATGGTGCTCAATACAATTACTTTTATTTCTGTTTGGCTGATTTTCATGTGTGTTAAGTACTTTCAACTCCCAGTGGACTGAGAAACTCCTTATATCCCCTGCTTTTGAAAATTATACCAGTTATCACTAAAGCATACTAGGTGACTTAAAGAACACAGGTAAAAATATCCATTCATTTAATTTAAAAATACAGGCTGGCATATTTCTTTCCTAGACAGTCTCCTGTGAAAATCTGTCAATCACAGGTGACGTTTTTGGTGTGCTGAGAAGGATCCTTCCCTGGCTGTGTTCAGTGTTTCTCCATAAAGGGGCCTGGCTCTAATGGAGATGGGATATTGCTATAATTTGCTTGCCTGATTGCTCTCGAGAGAGAATTGAACAAATGCACGTATCATTAAGCTACTTAGGACAACAGATTCTGCATGGAAAAGCTTTACTGGATTAGCCTTTGCTTTTGTATTTCCTGTGTAGTAAAACACATTTGCCAGATGCTGGAATCAGCAGGGCTGGAGAGAAGTTGGTAACACTCATTTTCCACCAAAAAGAAGCACAGGAACCTTTACATTGTCCAAAAGGACATTTTTCATTGTTAACATGTTCAGTCATCTTTAATTTAGAATAGAACAACTTATGAAACTAGATTAATAAAAATACTTTGGTACTTCAGTTTTATCTGTCTGTTTCAGAAATTGTTCTTGATTGTTTAAGTCCTAGCAAGCATGACAGTGAGACCTTGATGTACTACTTAAACCAGTATAAAATCCACAGTCATAAAACTTTAAGTAATGCTTACATTACTTTCACTGAGCAAAGTACTCCTGACAGTAGCTGTTTGTGTTGATTTGTTACTATTCATTTATTCTTTCCCTGTGCTTCACATTGCTACCTAATTGTGATGCTGTACTGAGAAAGCAATATCAAAGTAATTTTCCACAACATTAGTTACAATTTTCTTCTGATCTTCCAAGTGAAAAAATCCCATCCTGTTGGCTTCTGTGAGCATATAAACCTTGATTACATTTATCTGTTGGAAACCAATGCTTATGAAGTACATGTGCCTGGGACAGTGGGTGTAGGGCCTTTTCTGCTGATTGACAAACATGCTGCCTGTGTAGTTTATTTATATAACACACATCACTCTGAGCAGATGTATTTAAGACAGACAGCCATTTGGGGTGGGCAGAACAGATTTCCCAAAGCCATGTATTAAATACAGTAGATATTGTGGTCATTTAAGAGACAATAACTTCACTTAGTTCTCTTCTTGGTGTGTATGAAAAGTACTCTTAGTGGGGGAACTCAGGATAAAAACTGAGAAGTGGTGTGAGTGATGGTCATACCCCACAGAGGAACACAATATTACTGTAATAATTCTCCCTGTATAATTGTATATGCATTGGTGCACAAATTGGTGCTGCACATGCATTCGTGCACAAATACGGGCTGAGCAGAGAATGGTTTGAGAGCAGGAGAAGGATTTGGGGGTCTTGGTGGCTGAGAAGCCAAACATGACCTGCACTGGCAACCCAGAAAGCCAGCCCTGTGCTGGGCTGGACATCAGTGTTGGCAGCATGTCAAGGAAGGTGATTCTGCCCCTCTGCTCAGGTGAGACCCCACCTGCAGAGCTCTGGGGTCCCAGCACTGGAAGGACGTGGAGCTGCTGGAGAGAGTCCAGAGGAGGCCACAGAGGTGTTCCAAGGGCTGGAGCCCCTCTGGAGCCAGGATGGAGAGATGGGGGTGCTCACCTGGAGAAGAGAAGGCGCCAGAGAGACCTTAGAGCCCCTTCCAGTGCCTAAAAGAGCTCCAAGAAGAGGGGCTTGGGACAAGGGCCTGGGGCAAAAAGACAGGGAGGATTGGCTTCAAACTGAAAGAGGATGGACTTGGATTACATGCAGGGAGAAAATTCTTCCCTGTGAGGCACTGACAGAGGTTGCTTAGAGAATCTGTGGGTGCTTCATCCCTGGAAGTATTTGAGGCTAGAATGCTGTAAACAGCCTGAACTAGTGAAAGGTACCCCCAGCCCAGGGCAGTGGAGCTGGAACTGGAAGATCTCCAAGGTTCCCTTCCACCCCAAACCATTTTACAACTCTATGGTTTCATGATATAAAACTTGCCTTCTGCCATAATCATACCATTATTTTTAAACAGACATACTAAAGGATTTGTTCTAAATCAAGCACATTTGCCCATGGTGCACAAGAAAAATTTAATACATCCTAATGCTAATGCATAAATCTCCTCCTGTCTGTGACCAGATATTAAACATGAAAAGCAACTTTACACTAACAAAATATTTAGCCACTCCACCACTGTGTTGGTCCTGGAACTGATGCTGGTTTGGGTTTTGCCTTTTTTTCTTTTATGTATTCTCTGTATTTTTGCACGAATATTTGTAGCTCTGTAGCCTATTGTAGTAGTAGGTAGTTTTCCCAGTAATTTTCCATGGCCTTTCCCTAGGCAGAAAGACAAAACAAATTCCAGAGCTCCAAGCCCTGGGGGTAGAAGGCCCCTCTCCTGTTTTTGTTCTTCCTGGGAACCAAGGCCAGAACAACTCTTCCAGATCCATCTCACAGACCAAGCTCAGCTAGTGCTGAGGGGGGACTAAAGAGAAGGGGCTTGACCTGGGGGAAATTGAATCACCACTTGTCCTCCTAATTGGTGCTTTTTGTCAGTTATGCAAATTTCCTAAAACCTCTAAATATGTACTCATCCCTGTGGCTTTTGTGAACATCTTTCCAAAACTGCTCCTGAAGGCCTTCAAATAAAGATCCTCTTTTACAATAAATTATCTCTAGTTTCATTTCAGGTTGGGAAAAAAGCAACAGAACCTTAAAAGAGAAGGGTTCTGTCCAGCCTGTGGTAGCAGGAGGCTTCTTCAGCATGGAGTGTGCTCCCTCTGTGTCAGGGTGTGCAGTGAGAGTCAGCACAGCCCTTCCAGCCACAGCCACAGCAGTTTGTGAGATCCCTGAGACTGGGCTGTGGGAGCTGCATCTGGGCAGGACAAGAGAGAGCACCTTGGACCAACACAACACTGAGAGAAGAGTCAAAAGGCACAGCATGACCTGAGAGATCTCAGGTGGATTTCAAACACAGAGGCACAGTCCATGGGCTGGAGATGGGCTGTGGTGATGGGCAGCAGGTGGGGGGTGAGGTCCTGGGCACCAGGAAGGATCACTGCTTCCCCGTGGGACACAGTAAATAGCTGTAAATACTGCAGTGCCCACAGCTGGGCTGTGTGCTCTGTGCACTGTAGTC